CAGGCTCCCCGCTGAGCAGAGAGTCCGATGCGGGACTTGATCCTAGGACCCTGGGACCATGACCCAAGCCGAAGGCAGAGGCTTAACCTACTGAGCCACCCAGGTGCCCCAAAATTAAACAATTTATCATGGTTATGACTTTATATAATCATCTAAAATAGGAGTCAGTAATCTATGGGCTGTGGACCAAATCCGTTCCATCATCACAAAGTTTTATTGGAACACAGCTGTATCTGTTTGTTCACATACATCTATGGCTGCTGTTGCTACAGGGACAGATTGGAGTAGTTGTGACAGAATCCATATGAGCTGCATAGCCAAAAAATGCTTACTAACTGGTCCTTTAAAGAAAAAGTTTACTGACTCCTGCTTTACAGAAAAGTTTGCTGACCCCTGAGTAAAATAGTGAGGGTTAAATTTGTATTTTTTAAAAAGAGATGACAAGTTCTCACACTGATGCATGTCTTATCTTTTATTTCTATTAACATATAATGTATTACTTGCCCCAGGGGTACAGGTCTGTGAATCATCAGGCTTACACATCTCACAGCACTCACCGTAGCACATACCCTCCCCAATGTCCATAACCCAGCCACCTTATCCCTCCCCCCACCCCCAAGCAACCCTCAGTTTGACTAAGAGTCTCTTGTGCTTTATCTCACTCCCAATCCCATCTTGTTTCATTTTTTTTCCTCCCTAGCCCCCACAACCCCCTACCCTACCTCTCAGCTTCTTCATATCAGAGAGATCTTATGCTAATTATCTTTCTCTGACTGACTTATTTCGTTTAGCATAATACCGTCTAGTTGCAAATGGCAAGATTTTGGTCTTTTTGATGGCTACATTCCAGTGTGTGTGTGTGTGTGTGTGTGTGTGTGTGTGTGTGTATACACACACACGCTGCATCTTCTTTATCCATTCATCTGTTGATGGACATCTACATTCTTTCCATAGTTTGGCTATTGTGGACATTGCTGCTATAAACATTGGGGTGCCCGTGTCCCTTCAGATCACTACATTTGTATCTTTAGGGTTAATAGCCAGTAGTGCAGTTGCTGGGTCATAGGGTAGCTCTATTTTCAACGTTTTGAGGAACCTCCATACTGTTTTTCCAGAGTGGCTGTACCAGCTTGCATTCCCACCAACAGTGTAGGAGGGTTCCCCTTTCTCTCATCCCTGCCAACATCTGTAGTTTGATACAGGTCTTATCTTTTTGGTACTCTAGGAGTCATAAAATTGAAGATGGGAGACCTGAGAAAGACCAGAGTAATTTGCATGGGAACTTTTACAATTAAACCACCAAGTCCAGTTAATGAGTTCTTAACCTACTGAATAGTTTAAACAAGGGCAGAAATATTTACAAATATTCGCACTTGGATAAACGAAAGTCTGAGTGATTGCTTCATGGTTTCCCTTTAACTAGTATTCTTTTTTTTAAAATGAGACTCGTATTTCCTGACATTAGATTATCCTTTCCAACAAAGTGTTTTTATATTTTTCTGCTTTTCTCCCACTTTCATTATTTCTTCTCTTGGTCATTCAGAGGGATTCACTTACCTAGAGATAGACTGGGGTTTTTTTGTTTTGTTTTTTTAATGAAAGGAATCCAAAGGGAAAGTTAAAGTTTGGTTTTTCGGTTCAGAAAGGGTAACAGAAAATCAGCAGGGTTAGTCATGAAAGAAGCAGGGTGTAGAATATGTCACAATAGTAAATTGAAAAGCGGGGCAGGGTGATATTTAGTGTTCCCCGCTGATTAAATGTGGGTTACCTGACTGCCGGCCAGGGAGGATACTGATTGAGAGGCATCATGTTGAAGGAGGTAGGAAGGGCTTGAAATGAGCGGGTGGGACTTAGAGTGACCACAGAGAGAGGGACAGAGTCCCTCTCTGCCCTGTGGCCACACTAATAAACACAGACCATGCACCCCCATAGTATAGCCTATGCTGAGAAGACTTTTAGTGTTACCATTGCCTGGTGAGGGCCCGTATGTTTGCTGGGGCTCATCTTGTAGAAGTATTCCTCCTCATGTCCTAAGACCTATCTTAATTTACCCAAACTCCCTTATGTGGCCAGCCTTCTTTATGTGATCCAAGAAACTCATAAACCTCCCAGACTTTGGGATCTGGAAGAGATGTGTAGGTGAAGAACTCTATCGCCACTTCCTGAGAACTTGGCACGTCTTCATATGGACCACATGGGCAAAGGTTGACTATAGTCTGACCTGAGGCTTGGCCAAGTACCCTGTGATTCCTTCTGGAGCAAGGAGGGATAAGCAGCCTGGAGCAGAAATTCCAGAGACAGTAGCTCTCCCACCTCTCCATCTTCTGGGAGTTGGTCGCAAAGCTATTTCTCATCCATCTCCCTGGTTTCAGTTGATCCTAAGACTTTCAGCCTCTTCCCCTTTAAGGCTCCACTGCAGATTTCCTCGTAAGTCTCTCTACTGAGCCATATGTGAGAGCTGGCTCCTCCACAGCGGAATGACCTACTTTCCTGTGCTGTCTGTCATCTGGACCCTTCGGCTCAGTGATCATCCTCTGGGCCCAGAGACCTGACACCATGCTGATCCTGCTTTTGCTCTCTGTGAAAGTAATAAACTGTTTAACTTCATTTGAGCTTGTGTCTCCCTGCTGGCTGAATCAGTGGTTATGACATGCAAACCTAGCAGCTGCAGTTGAGATCCTTATGGCCCTGTTACAAATCACACTGCCTTTTGGGCAGTGCTTGACAGTTTTGTCCTATTTTGACAACAGCATGAAGGGTTATTTTCCTTGTTTACTCACAGTCTCTGTTCTCAAGAAGATCCTTTTTTGATCACCTGATTATGACATGAAACCTGTAAAATTATATCTTCTTATTAATACCAAAGGACAAAGAAGTAAAAACATAGATAGGGTTACTACATGTGCTCTTATCCAAAATTTCCTCTTTTAAAAGGGTGACTTTTCTCTATAAAGAAGCTGTGAGAGATATATGGGATGTGGACTTTGGAGCAGATTCCTTTCCTCCACTTCATAGCAGCATCATCTCAGGCAAGTTACTAAATGTCTCTGTAACTCAGTTTCCTTACCTGTAAAATGTGGTAGACTTATAGTATTTGTTGAGAATGAGGTAATGTATGTAAAAATGAGGTAATATATGTAAAATGCTTAGAATAGAAGTGGCACACAGTAAGTGTATAATAAGCATTAGCTACTATATCAATGAAAATCATGGTACTCAGACTTTAAGGTGCACAAGAATCACCTGTCCACTCCCAGTTTCTCATTGAGTAGGTCTTGGGTGGTACTCCAGAATTTGCATTTCTGATGTTGCTGATCAGATGACTGTCCCCAAGGCCTCAATCTCATCAAAAGTTTTTGTTTACAAAGATGCATTAGGGCAAGAAAAAAAATGTTCCTTGAGTTTCGGAAGGACCAGGTAATTATATAACAATTGGATGCACCCAAGTGTTAAGATGGAGAAAGGAAGGGGAGTGGAGAGGAGAGAGATGATGATCCTGAGCACCTCATTAACATGTTGTGCTCTGAACAGCAACTACTGAGTACACACCACATGTAAGAGATGAGGTGATGAGGACTAGAGGAGGATATTAATTTACTTAAGTCCATCTAACTTGAGAGTTCATGCACTTTGCACAATATGTAAAAACATATGCCAAAATATGAGAAGACCCTTGCTTTGAAAATATTCTTTTGGGATGCCTGGGTGGCTCTGTCGGTTAAGCCACTGCCTTCGGCTCAGGTCATGATCCCAGGGTCCTGGGATCAAGTCCTTGCTCAGCAGGGAGCCTGCTTCTCTCTGCCTCTGCCTGCCACTCTGCTGGCTTGTGCTCTCTCTCTCTCTCTCTCTCTCTCTCTCTGACAAGTAAATAAATAAAATCTTTACAAAAAAGAAAAGAAAAAGAAAATATTCTTTAGGGCTCAAGTCATTAAACCTGGCTAAGAAAATTGTTATACAAGGCAAGCTTACTTTTCACCAGTGTTCTGATCATTAAAGCTTTCCTGCTCACTTATGGCTTGACATCCATTACTGATAAATATACACTAATGAATAGAATATAATGGTAAAGAGCGCAGATTCTAAAACCAGTCTGCCTTTGTTTTACCCTCAGCTTTGCCACTTGTGACCTTGTGCAAGCTGTATATCTCTTTGTGCCTGACTCAGTTCCTTCATCGATAGAATGGGGGATGACAAAAATACCTACCTGATAGATTTCTGTGAGGATTGAATGAATTATTAGAATAATTAGAAAAATGTGAATATGATCCGTATATTACAAAATACTATCATAGCAATGTTTAGTTTCTTTAGAATGAGAATGAGAATGGTATTGTAGCAATATAGGAGAATTTCTTGTTTTTATATAAATGCTGAAGTATATAGGGGTGAAGCATTATGATGTCATGATGTTTGCAACCACTCTATAATGGTGTGCGTGTGTGTGTGTGTGTGTGAGTTTTCTACTTCATCCTTCTCCCTACCCCACCTAAAACCAGATCAAATCAGAGTAGGGTTGCCAGATACAAAATAGGATGCTCCATCAAATTTGAATTTTATATAAATAATGAGTGATTTATCTAGTATAGATATTTCCCAAATAATTCACAGAGGCCAAATAGTGCATGGAACATACTTAACCTAAGAAGTTTTCATAGTTTATCTGAAATTTAAGTTTAACTAGGCATCCTATATTTTTGTTAAACCTGGCAACTCTAAAGAGCCATTTATTCTCCTGATATATATGGTTGACCCTGCCCACAAACATGCCAAAATCTTAGTTATATTGATTTATCCATGACAAAATACTTAGAGTTCTTCTGAGTTTTAAACCATACTGGAAATAAACTTTTATCCTTTAGCTTAGTTGTCCCCCATTGGATTCATTGTTTTCAATTCTGAATCTCTCTCTCTCTTTTTTAAAATTATAACATATTTGAAAGACTGCATTTTTATTTGTGATAGAACCCATGGATAGAATATACATAAAGATCACATAAAAATACATGAAGCTGATAATTAAACATAATATACAGTGCTGGGTAGGTAGGTGATTAAAGAACTACACGTATTTATATATAGTGTCATTAATGTTAATTCCTAGAAGCACGTCTTGCATGAAGAGTAGTTTTAGCAGTTAATAATAGTACAAACATGTTAAAAATACTATTTATAGAACTACAACCTCAAAACATGTAATCGAACTCCATCTCATGGATTTAGGTTTAAATGGCCCTGATTTACAATAACTTTCAATAATAAACCAGGGAAAAGCAACAAGAAGCCCATTACTTGCAGAAGCAATTACAGAAAATTACTTTGGAACAGTAGCACCATTCCACATTATAATATGCACATTTGTTATATTGCACCTTCCTGAGTTGAACTTTGAAAATGGTAGCCACATGAAATGCCAGAATGGAGGAATTCATCCCAGGCTGGGCCTTCACTGATGGCGGTAGTAATAATCTTGACCATCATAGCCATCATAGCTACGCCCTTTATAGTAGCTGTACTCATCCTCATAGGCTCGGTAATTATCCCCACGAGGTTCCCCGTTTTCATTTTCATAGACTTCATATCCATTGTCATATTCATTAGTGCCTGTTTGTTCGTACTCTTCCTCATATCCGGTGGGCGTGGCTTCCCCAGACTGTCTGGTGGTAGTCCCGTAGAGCTCTGGTGGTGGAGTCGTAGGTTCAAACCCACCATCTGGAGAGGTTGTTGTCTTAGAGCCATCATTGTCCTGCTTTCTAGCCACCGTGGTTCCTTCTGCCTGGGCTTCAGTGACACTTTCTTCTTCACCTTCTTCTCCATTATCTCCATCACTGCTGCCATTACCATTTTCTGCCTCTGTGCTGTTGCTACTGGTGCCATTTATGCCTTGCCCATTTTCATCCACTTCTGCTTCATTTTCTTCATCTTCCTCTTCTTCTTCATCACTTTCCTCCTCTTCTGTAGCCTTGTGTCTTTTATCCCCAGCCTGTAAGGAAACGTTTGAAAGAATCCAGATCTAGGTGTGAAAATGTAAAAACCTAAGACAAATAACTTCATTCAACTCAGGCTATACTAAGGCCTTGTTCTAGATGTATTTCTGAATTGAAGCTAGCTTAATTTATAAAAGAATTAGTGGGTGTTTTAAAAATTCAAAAACATCTTTGGTGGGTGTTTTAAGAATTCAGGATTAGTACCTCTGTCATTGGGTTTTGACGGAGAAGAATGTACTTGATAAATAAGCCTTCTCTGTGGGAGATTCTTCTTATAGCTTTGCTCTTGACTTTGTCTTAGAGCCCTCTTCCCTGAAATACAGTGGCATCTTGCAGGACCTTTTATCCATTGCTAAGATGCTTGCTTGTCCTTAGTTTTCTGCTAGAATGTAGGAAGTCAGTGTAATAACCTGGGTGAGTACTTGCGTGGGAAAAGAGCTTTCCTTATTTATAAACAGGGATATTGAGTTTGCTCTTGCTTTTTCTTTTCTTTTTTTTTTTTTTTTAAAGATTGTATTTATTTATTTGACAGAGATCACAAGTGGGCAGAGAGGCAGGCAGAGAGAGAGAAGGGGGGAAGCAGGCTCCCCACTGAGCAGAAATGCGGGGCTCCATCCCAGGACCCTGAGATCATGACCTGAGCTGAAGGCAGAGGCTTCATCCACTGAGCCACCCAGGCGCCCCTGCTCTTGCTTTTTCAATGAGTTAATGAAGATAATATAAAACATCCTGTTTGGTGTCTAAATAACCTTTGATTTCAGTAAAGAAGTGAAATCAGATTTAACATTTTTGAGGAATGATTACCTTCTTGGGAAGTTGGATTGCAGCTAGACCTATATACCCTGTTCCAGGTGTGGTCTCTCCATAGCCAGGTGTGGTAGAAAGGGTGGTATTCTCAGCCTCATCTTCATCTTCGTTTTCATCAGAATTTGCATTCTCTTCATTGTTTTCTTCTTCATTTGAAGTCTCCTGGTGAAAATATCCAAGCAAGATAAGTTATTTTAGCTGGAAGAGAACTCAAAATTTGTTGGTGTCATGAGCCACAATGGAGAAAAACATTGTATTCCTCAGCCAGCTCATCACCTAATGCTAACAATTTCTTCCTCTTGTGCCATTTACACTTCTCACTTCTTAGAACTCAACTCAATTATCTTTCTATTTATCTCACCATAGTCTGTTTTAGACATTTCTGTATTCTATTTAGTCAATAAAATATACTTTTATAATAATTTCAGCATAACTGACTATATCCTCATAGTATATCCTGGATGCCTTAGGCTCCTAAAGTCTTTTTTTTTTTTTTTTAAGATTTTGTATTTATTTATTTGACAGAGACACACACACACACACACACACACACACACACAGTGAGAGAAGGAATACAAGCAGGGGGAGTGAGAGAGGGAGAAGCAGGCTTCACGCTGAACGGGGAGCCAGATGTGAGGCTCCATCCCAGGACCATGGGTCCATGACCTGAGCTGAAGGCAGATGCTTAATGACTGAACCACCCAGGCACCCCAAGGCTCTTAAGGTCTTATCAGTACTATTAAAACATGGTAGCAAATAGATTCTTACATTTGCTGACAAATCAGCTGAGAACTTAGACCTGTTTTTCAAGGTAGGATTATTGTTCACTTTAGAAAGGGAAGGTGAGCTCAGAAAAGCTAAATAACTTGCTTAAGGTCTTATGTGTGATGAAGCTGTATCTTTCTAATTTAAAAAGCTGAGCCCTTTGTAATGCACTGTGATGTTTTTGATGAGGAAGAGGATTTATATGAATGTCCACACTACACCTAGGATATTGTTTTCTGAAAGGAATTCTTATGGAAATGCCTCTCTTCAAACAAATTGATTGCATGTCTTATTTACTGGCAAAAAAGTGAGTATTTTTCATAATGCTTTCAAGTGTACTTAGACAAAAAATAATTTAATTCAGAAGTCATCTGCCAATATATAAGCTAGTTCTGTATTGTATGCAATATTCAGAAAACTTTAGGCATTTGACAATCAATTTTACCATGCAATGAGGAAACTAAGTACTCCAAGAAATTTTTAGTGGTATATAAAGTTATTGCAGAAAGAGGTTTTAAAAAAATTAACACTCCTCAAATGAAAGCTTATTATAATCTTATAATATTACTATAATCTTATTTAACATTGTATTCTTGGCCTTTATGTTGTTAGGCAGTTGTTTGTTAATGGAGTTAGTCTAATGTGATTCATAGCTAATATTAAAAGTCAAGACTTTAAAACATGCATGGATGAAGAGGATGTGATACATACACATATACATATACATACATGTATACATATATATAATGGATTATTATTCAGCCATGAATAAGAATGTAGTCTTGCCATTTGCAATGATGTGGATGGAGCTAGAGAGTATTATGCTAATGAAATAAGTCAGAGAAAGACAGTACCATATGATTTTACTCATATGTGGAATTTAAGAAATAAAACAAATAAGCAAAGGGAAAAAAAGAGAGAGGGGCAAACCAAGAGACAAACTCTTAACTACAGAGAACAAACTGATGGTTACCAGAGGGGAGGGAGGTGGGAGGATGGGCTATATAGGCAATGGAGATTAAGGCGGGCACTGTGATTAACACTTTTCACTGGAAGAGTTGAATCACTGTATTGTATACCTGAAGCTCATATTATCTTGTATGTTAACTAATTGGAATTCAAATAAATACTTAAGATAATCCACAGATTCCAAAACAAAATACTAGAAGAAGAAAATGAGTTTATATAAAGAATAAAAATTTAAAAATAAACACAACCCAGATTTATGCTGCCTTATTACTAAAACAAAGTGACTAAAGAAGAATATGTTTATTTCATTAAATTTGTAAATTCCACTGTTCCAGTAAACTTTTGGGACTGCTAGAATCCATCCCAAAACAGTCTCTAAGCTAATTGTGTCAAATAACCTACAAACACCATGCTGTTTATTTTTTCTCATTTATGCTTTATTCCAACAGACTAAACCTTTCAGGGGAGAAAGAGGAAAGATTCTTAGACTAGAACATAGAGTTAGGGTTCTGTACTGTCCTATTACTCATGAAAAACCCATCAAATAGATGGTAGTTCATTAGTGGTGAGGTCATGATTAAAGATCCAAACTCTCAACTCATGAACTTCTATATTTTCTCCTACAAAGCCCTTTCTTTATTAGATACTTTATTTAAGGATATCCTGTTGCAGTGAATTAAAAAGGAAAACAGGTCAGTCTGTTAATGGGCGTTAAGCATCAAATGTCTTTTTGAATACAAAAATTAGCAATAATTTTTTAAAAAAGTATTATTAACCTATTAGAATGGCTAAAATGACTGAAAGAAACAAGTGTTGGTGAGAATGTGAAGCAACTGATACACTGATAGAGGGAGATCACAGTATACCTGCTTTGGTTGCTTCTACTCAGATTGAACATAAGCATACTTTTTTGACTTAGAAGTTTAATCTCTAAGTAAAATGGCCTCCGGAAATAAATGCATATGTTCACCAGAACACTAGAATGTTCACAATAGCCCAAACGTGGAAACTACCCAAATGCCCATCAACAGGAGAGTAATACATTTTGGTACATTCACTTCATGAGATACTGACAGTGAGAATGAATGATATACAGTCGTAGAACAATTCAGATCAGCCTTTGAAGTTGAGAGTAGAAGAGACAACACACAAAATAATGTACAATGTGTGATTCCATTTACATAATACACAAAAATAGGCAAAGCCAGTATCTTGTTAGGACTTAAAATAGCAGTTACACTTGGCAGTTTTGGTTAATGAATGAAATGGAGCACAGTGTATGTGCTGCTTTTTGATATGGGTTACACTTGTGTGTTCAGTTTCTGAAATTTCAGTGACCTCTATACACATGATAATTGTGTATATTATATTTAAATAAAAGTTTTTTTAAAGTGAGGTTGAAGGGTTTAGGAGTGGAAAAAAATGTTTGATCGCCAAATAGAAAACATTCCCTAGCACCCTCTCATATGAATACAATTCCTGGGGATTCTATGTATTTAACCTGAATTGCCATGAAATTTTAGGGAGGAAATAGGAAAAAGGAAGTTCTAGAATCTCTTCAGGATAGAAGCCTCCAGGCTTATTTAACCACTTTCCTATGGTCACTTTCAATGAATGATGTTTGGAGTATTTATTCTCTGAAGTTTTCAAAACCAAACTCCCAGATATTTTTGGATACCATATATTGTATAAGAAACTTATACAATATATTGTATAAGAAACTGTGCTAGGTAATGTGAGGAGGTATAAGGAGAGTACAGCACTGCTTCTACCCAAACCAGAGATGAAACATATGGTCTCTAGTCCTCTGGGTCATGAGAAGTTTCAGATAAGCTTTGGGAAGATGTTAAATGTTCAGAGATTGTTGACAACATTCTGAGTATGCATGATTTCATCACAGTTTTAAAGAAATTCTAATCTTCTTCCATTCCCAACCACTGTCCTAACAAATGAAGAACCTTTGCCAAAAGGTACGCAATCTAATTGGGAAATCCAGTTGGCAAGGCAATTTTGTGATCACTGTACAGCAAACAGTTATAGTAAATGGATTACCTCAGCTTAGTTATTGTGTAAGATTACTAAATGGAACTCTGGGTAAAATTCTGTGGGATTTAGTAGGTGGCATTTTTCCTGGTACCGGCTTGATATTCTTGTAAGGTCTTCCTTAAGCTATTAGGGGAAATTATAGTACTGGAGATGATACTTTTTAAAACTATCATATCAAATCATATAAAAATGATTTTTATGGTTAAAAAAATCAAACTGTCACATTTTAAGTTCCCATACCATTTTATTTTCAAGATAACAGATGTTTATATATGATCCATTTTTGACTGTCACTGCCCATTCATAAGCAGCACTTAAGAATACCCGAATTTAGAACGTCCCCAAAGAAATGGATAGCTATAATTTACTCTCCAGGAAAATATACCTAATTAGAGCAAGTGTGTCAGTTATAAACATGTTAGCACAATTTCCATGATATACAGATGAATTTTAACTGTGAACTCTACTAATTTGTAGTACTATAGAGAGCTGTGCAGTACTATGTGTAGAATCTGTAGTACTATACAATGCTATATATATTTATACATCTTGAGTATTCATATTTCTATAAGAACATAAATTTTATTATTAGACAAAAAGACATATGAAATTCCCATATAATTCCCACATAAGAACATCCCCACATAATTCCCACATAAGAACATTCCCACATAAGAAATTCCCATATAATTCCCACATAAGAACAACCCTACTTTGTGGGTCAAGAAAGACCAATGAATTGCAATACCATTGTAGAGGATATAGATTAGCTTTTCATATACTACCTACTTAGTAAATTGAGTTTAAATTTAATCCTTAATACAAGTATTGCACTGAGTTTAGGTACTTGTCTTTTACCATCATGTTCTGTCCACCTAAGTATAAATAATACTTTCTTTTCTTTTTAACAGAATTTATAAAGTATAATTATAATTTATTATAAGTTAATTATAAATATATTATGATGGAGACATTATAATGTAATTATAATTACACTTATAATGGAGACATTTTTGGTTTTGTGTACCGCTTACAGGTTACTTTAATGTCAAATTGCAGTAGTATTTTAAACAAGTCATTTTAGTTGATTCCAATTTCAATAACGTTCCCCTTGTCCAAAATAGAAGACTGTGGGTAGCTGGTAAACTGGCAACAGCTGTTTGCTGAATCCAGGCTACAGTAGACCAGTTTCCTATTTGTTTTTATGGTGCCTGGTTTGTTATGAAAAATCCTGCAGAAATTCCTTACCTCCTCATCTTCCTCCTCTTCTGAACTGTCACCATTTCCATCTTCTTCAGATGAGTCACTACTGCTCTAAAAAAAAAAAAAAGTGTATATATATATATGTGAATTCATACATATATGGATATCTATGTACATATTTATGTACACATACTTTCAACACCAAAGAAAATTTCCTGGTGATTGAATTAAGATAAAATATGTACAAATATTTACCCTAATGAGAATTACCATCTTGATTGATTTATTAGAACAGTTCTCATATGAATCTGAGAGATATAAGGAGATGGGGATATATAAAATAAGGTTAGAAAAAGACATCTTTAGTGATCAAGATATGAAATGAGATACACAGGAAATATGTTGAAACATTTTGTAGAGCAATGAATCACAGAATTGTCTAACTCTTTAAGAACAAGAGGATTATCTGGTTCAATTTATTTTATAGAGAAGGAATCAAGCCCAGAGCAGTTGTGACTTCTCCAGCTGGTTCAAAGCAAATGAACTAGCACATAGATCATGTTATTTTATTTTCTTTATAAAATATAAAGGAAATGATGATTAGGCTTATTGTAAAATAAATGATTTATTTATTTATAAAAGAACAATTCTTTTAAATAACGAGCTCCTGATGAGTTTAAATTAGAATTTGATTTGAAATTAATTTACACATAATTTTTAGTATCTTTCAGTCTAATTAAAGCTGCTTCATAAAATAAGCCTCTCTCTATATATAAATGAGATTATATATATAGGAGTTAAAAACTATATAAAAACAAAATTAATTCACTTACTCATTTAGGAGAGTTATAGAGTACCATCCCTCTAAAGAGCTCAATATTGAATGAGAATATATTAAACCAAGGAGTCTGCATATAAAAATATAAGTTAACAAGCTTCGCTTCTTTTTAAAAGGAAATATAAGTCTAAACACCTGTTATCAGAAACTTTAAGACAGTAGAGGAGATTTTTCATCTTGATAAATTAAATTTTCTTTCTCTTTCTGCAACCACCTCTAATGGTACCAGGTAGATAAATGGATACCCGACTTAAGATGCTGTTTTCTGCACTACAAATCTTGGCTTTGATTCTGATGACCTAGTTAAGTTCTGTGAGTCTTAGAAAATATAGCTGCAGAAGAACCTCAGGGTTAGAGATCAGATATGAGGAAATACTCATGTTCCAGTCCTGCCCAGGGCTGTTCTATAGGGCTCATGCTTCAGTGGCCATGCCATCCACTCAAGAAAAGGGAATGCTTGTCCCCTTGAGCCAAGAATAACCTTGGGTGGAAAAGAGAATAATTAGACCTGCTCTTCCACTTCCATGACCTTAATTGTTGTACTTTCCCAGCTTAGAGGGTAAATAAAGCATGGAATTACAGTAAACTATTTCTCTTTGTTAGTTAATAGAGAGGACAGCATATTTTTGCAACGTATTTTGTCTCCGTGGGAGTGTTTGAATCTTTTTACAAGCTTCCTGACCCCTAGCCTTCTTGCTGTCCCAACCACATGACTCTTCAATTAGTGTCTGCAGTGAGAACAATTTTAAAGCTTCATGAAATGCCCGGGAGCCTTAACATTTTCTTTTTTTCCTTTCTTTCATTTATGCCAATTTGTAACTAAGACATATTATTCTTCCAGAAGTCAAATACACATACACACACCACACTTACACACACATATATGTATGTATATGTATTTTCACCATTACTCCTTTCAACTTCTATCATTCCCATTTATTCAATCCCAAAACATATGTTTCAGGCATTATTTTGAAAATGAGGATGGTAGCAAGAGAGAAAGTTGGAAACATGGACAGTTTCCCTATGTCAGACACTGTGATAGCTGAGATCAGTACAATGAAAGAAATATAAGTTTCTGCCCTCAAAGAATTCACATACAATTCAAATAACATATGATTCCTGAAAGAAGGCATTTCCTTAATTAAAAATGCTTAGGTTGTTAAGCTTATTTATGCTTCCATTTCTATAGCCAAGCAGATAGATAAGCTATAGGTAGACTGTTTATAGCTTTATAATTGATATGACGTATTTCATGGAAGTTGGTATTTTAGAAATGATTATATGTAGGGGTGCCTGGGTGGCTCTATCTGTTAAGTGGCCAATTCTTGATTTCCTCTTGGGTCATGATCTCAGGGTCATGGAATCGAGTCCCATGTCAGGCTCCATGTTCAGCAAGAATCAGCTTGAGGATTCTCTTTCTCCCTCTCCCTCTGCCCCTTTCCCTACTTGTGCACATTCTCTCTAAAATAAATCAATAAACCTTAAAAAAAAAAAAAAGGAAAAAAGAACTGATCATATGTAAACACAGATTTGTTTGAATAAAACAAAAATTTCAAAGCCAATACAGCTTAATGCATTTTGGGGTGACAATCTGAGCACCAAATACTTGATAGATTTAGCAGGATAAATAATACAGAGCTATGGGAAATATATAAGTAGACATGTAAGGGAAAACAGTTCTGGAAATCAAGCTTTGTAAAGTAGGAGAATAAATCATCAATACCAGGTCAGACCAGACTGTTGGATTGGGGCATATATTTTATTGAGTATTTTAATTTATTTGTTTGACAGAAAGCAGGAGAGCACAAGCAGGGGGAGAGGGAAAATCAGCCTCCCTGCTGAGTAGGGGAGCCCGTTGTGGGGGGGCTCAATCCTAGGACCCTGGGATCATGACCTCATCCGAAGGCAGAGGCTTAATGACTGAGCCACCCAGGCATCCCACCCCCAGATATTTTTAAAATACAACTGTCTTACTAACAAATTCTACATTAGTTGAAATGAGTTTGTCTGCATATAATTTCTCTAAATATTGTATATTAAAAATCAGAGATTTTTGAACTTTGAATTTATCATTAATGAAAAATATAACCTCTCCTAATATCTTTTCACTATGGCTGTTTTAACTGGATCACATTTATATATCTATAAAAATTTACAGATGGGAATATCTCTATGTGATATTTTAGAAAAATTGTGGAGCTAGCCAGAAATTTAAATTTTTATCATTTCATTTAGTTTAAGAAAGAGAATGAGGCAAACATTCAAATGAGCACTGTTTATTTGTGGGTCTGAAGTGTACCAAAGAATGGAAGACAATTCTGAAAACCCACAACTCTTGTATCATCTGTTTTCATATTTCTGTGGCCACACACATTCCCCATAATTATTATGGTGCTATAAATACTTTAAGATTATCATTTCCTATCATTGTATGAGTTAGAAATGGGTTAGCCCAACATATGGTAGGAAGCTCTGCCAAGCCACTGTGCTGAGGCATCGTTTTCAGCATCTTGACTGCTTTTAGCATCTTAGGAGTCCCAGGTCAAATGGTGCATAATTGGTGTCCTGAACCCAAACTGTAGAGTAGTAAAAATAGCACAGTTCTGGTTTGTTGAGTATTTTAAATCAACACCACACCCTCAAGTTTTCAAAGGCTTTCTTCACTAGTAACCTAGTAAAAACACAAATTCTTATTTTTAGTGTTTGTTATTTTCTTTTTTTGTTTACAAATTTTAAGGATGTTTTGTTTTTCTCGCAGACACTCTCATAATTCACTTCATGAATTTCTCTCTCTCCTCTACAATTCTTGAGCCACACTTCTGTTATCGTGACCAACACAGGTCAGAGGTTCAGAAAATCTTCAGCAATCACCACTGATTATCAGCAGTGTTTTTAAAAATGGTCTCTGCTATTTATGAAGTTAGTCTTTAACTTACCAGTTAAAGGGCTCTAAATTATCAGATGTTAACAGCTGTATGACAGTATTGTCTCAACTATAACATGACAGTTAGTGACCTTATCACTGACTTAATTGTCAACAATAGATAAAGTGTTCATTTCATCAATGTGTTAACCAGAATACCTGAACTCTGTACCAAGGTGTTTGCTTTTATTATATCATTCTAGACTGGGCCCAAATAGTATGTATATCTCTGCTTTAAAAGAGAACTTAGGAATAAATTGTATTGTATTGTATTAAAACAAACTTTTTATAAAAAGTAAATCTTTCTGGCTGACTTTCAGTGAGAATTGAATTCAGTTGTTTTATAGTTAAATTTGATCCTCTTTAAATTGTAATGGGCGGGAAAGAAAAATTATTTTTTATGCTTACCTGAGCTGGAAATCGTTTTAGAGGAGGATAAAAGTAGGCATGCTTGTAAAGAGAATATCGTGGCTGGTACTTAAAGACCTGTGTAACCAAAATAAATGATATATTCATGTTTAATGTACAATAAATCTAGAGGAAGTATATAGTCAGACTAAGAATGTATGCTAAACATAATTACCCCATTTTCTTCTGAATCCTGTAATTTGGCTCTTCGATGCAAATTTTTCATCTGTTTGAAAGAACATTTAATTATTACATACTCTAACTTTTACATAAAAAGGCAAAAAAGGAAATAACTATAGGTTTTTAATATAGAACTTACTGAGAAAGCACAGGCCATTCCCAAAATGCTGAGCAAAATTAAAGCAGTCTTCATTTTGGTGATTGCTTCTGGAATTAATGAAGTGGTAAAGTTAATAAATATTAAAACTAAAAGTGTAACTTTTTTACTCATACTAGAAGATGAAATATTTGTTTTCATTTCTGTCCAGTTATAGTTTTGACTAAGACCAATTTTCTGACTTTTATTTTAAAATTGTTCTTTTTAAGTGGTAGAAAACTAACATTACCTGTCTGTTTAAGTAATCTTTAGTTCCATACTTGGTTTTACCCTATCAGCTGTGATTTGTCAGTGGCAGACCATTTCATTACTATAAGGGGCTTTAATGTTTGGTGTACTTCACATTGGGGCAAAGAGTCTTCTTAATATCATTGATATAGGAATATCAGCTAAGGAATTGAATTGTTAGTATAGTTATGTGACCTGGTTTTTTTTTTTAATATATAATTGAAAACTAAGCAAAAATTGAAAACATTTAAATGATTGCTTTTACACCAGTGATTATATATATATTCTATATATTGGTTCTATATGGGTTTTGAACCAAAGTTTTATTTGTAAGATGGAAAATAGGAGCCATTTTCCTATGAATACCTTAGAATACTTTGTATTTTTTTTCTGTGTATGAAATGATCCATAATATGTGAAACTCTATTCTCATAGCACGTAGCACCAGACAGCCATGTCGAAGGATAAGTCTATTAGAAGAGTTCATCAGTTTCACCTTGGGATATCAGGGGCAGATTTCCTCAAATCAGGTTATTCTTCAGTGCGATTTAAGCTTTCCATCACTAGTGGGGAGACTGTCACAGGGTGAGTCAAGGGCTTTTCAGGGTCAGAGCAGTAGTCATCATGGAGACTATGGAATTCTATTGAAGAATTCAATTCTATGGAAGAATTCTATAGAATTCAATTCTGTAGAAGAATTGAAGATGGACTCTCAGAATGGGAATAGTTCTCAAACAGTCCTGGGTTTTGCGGCCATGCAAAGATCTCACTTCCACATAGATACCTCATAAATAAAAAGAGAGAAATAGTAAAATCCTATCCTACTTTAATTTCATTCTATTTGATAAAATCCTAGTTTAATAGAGGTTGAATAAACTTAGCTAAAAGCCTGCTAATACCCACCCATTTGCACTGACATATGTTTAACTGAGTGTTTAACTGAGAGTGACAGTTCTGGCAACATTTTAGAAGCAATATGTAACAATGATGACAATTTCCCCATAAACACACTTGAAAAAGTAATACTTAAAATGTATGTATGAAAGCCATGTCATATACTGTATTCTGCCGTTCAATTCTGCATTTTGTCATTAGCCACGTTTATTGCTTCCTTATTGAACATCTAACACTAAAACATTACACAGAGTAAAATTTAAGGCTTGGAGACAGTGTCTTGGGTCCTAAGTCACACTCTATTTGTGGCACACTGGGTTTTTTGATTTTGATGTCTACAGACTTCCTCACAGTTCTGTCTACTTTAGTAAAAGTTCTTAATGGCCACACAACGATAAAAGAGGCTTTGCCCCTGAAGTGGACCCATTTGTCTAAGAAGTTTTTACTGCTATTGGGGTGCTTAAAGCAATACTTTGAGCTTTGTTACCCATGATCAGATTTGCTAGCAAGCAGGGAGATTATTGCCTTGCAACTTTATTAAAAGAGTCGGAATGTTTATGATGTCTTAAAGAGCTAAAAACTTAAATACATGGAACTGTAGAAAGGGTTTTGATTACATAAATTTCTCATAGCACACCGTCAAAACAACTAAGTGAAAACATAGCAGGAATAATATAAAAAGAACCAAGTGATTCATGGAGGCAGCAATTGGCTGCCTCCATAAATCTCATTTTATTTACTTTGTGATTCATAAAAAACAAAGACGTCTATATTGACTACTACTAACCCAGACAACAATTAAAACATTCTTAACGGATAGTTTTAAAAGTCTAATTACAAGTTTTCATTGGGAAAAGTATGATGAACTACCATTATTTATTTCTTTAGTACTATGTATTTTTCTATACTGATTTTAGAGATACGGGATATTTACACTTTGAAACTGAATGTATTGAAAAGACATTGTATATAACTGAAGTATAGATTAGGCATAATTTATGGTGAAATATGCATTCATTACAGCAGAGTTACGAGTGAAAAATAGTATTTCAGTCAGGTTATCTTGAATACATCACAAGGAGAAAACAAATAGTTATTTGTGAGGTGGAGACATAGAAAGTAGGCCACAAAATTTTCTAGTTTATGTGCACAATATTAAGGACTTACTTACATGCATAGGTTAATAAGCTTAACCTTTTGGAAAAAATCTAAACTCTGAGGTACTAGTTTAATGATAAACAAGTGTTAAATTACATAGCCATTCTATACAATTCAGTAACATCAACATTAAAATAAAAAATTAAAAGCCAGGTCTAAAGATGTTAATTGTGGAGTGTTCAATTTTAAGAAAATGAAGCCATAATAGTAAATCTTACCCTTTTGCAGTTCTGGAGTGAGGAGACAGTCTCACAGGAGTGAGTGACACAGATTGAATATTTCCTCTGCTGTCTCACTCACTCATTTGCTTGCTGTGACTGGCTATAAACTCTTCTTTGCCTTCCAGCAGCCAATCGCTGTCATGGGCAAGGTGATGTCAGAATGTGGATTCTCACCAGAAAACCCCCAAACTTCAACACTTTTTCAAGACACAGTCTCAGTTGAATAAACATGAAATGTGGTTCTAGTGCCAAGAGGTTTGCATTGTGGAATTTAATTGAAGGTTCAGATGAAGATGAATAGTTTGAGTTCTGAATATATATAATAATATACTGGATTTGAATTAAAATAAGTAGCAAAAGATTTAACCATTTAAAAATTTTATAATTATACAAACTTTTCACTGTTCAAAGGAAACTTACTGTCATCAGATATAATCCTACATTATTAATTTAATAAAAAAAGAAATAATAGGGTGCCTCAGTGGCTCAGTTGGTTAAACAACTACTTTTGGCTGAGGTCATGATCCCAGGGTCCTGGGATCGAGCCCTGCATCAGGCTGCCTGCTCAGCAAGGAGCCTGCTTCTCCCTTTCCCTTTGCCACCTCTCCTGCTTGTGTTCCCTGTTCTCTCTCTGTCAAATAAATAAATAAAATCTTAAAAAAAAAAAAAGATGACAAAGGAAAGGAGCTGATGAGCAATTAATATTTTAATACCAACTATTTTATATTTTTCCTAAGATATGCTTCAGTGACTCAGAAATTTAAATTGATATAATTGAAGTCAACACCATCAATTTTGTTCAGTTTACCAAACTTGAATTACTGAGCTTTCCATTGAACCAGGACAGCGGAGAGCTTGTGTCCTAGGACATGAAGAACCAGATATAAGAAGGATCTTGTCCCTGTCTAAAATTTTCAGTTATGTAGAGAGACAGACTTATAGCCATAGGGCACAGCAATGCAAATATCTACAAGGTTTAGAAATCAGAATTAGAATTTTATAGATTATTAATAAGGGAGGGGTTATCAAGAAAGAAGAGTAAAGTGTTCTTGGGAATAGATTTAAAGGATACAGAAATGAATGAGCAGCATAATGACACCAACACTATCCAATTATGCACTGAGTGCTCTTTTGCTAGTTTTTTACTTGTGCTATTTCAGACCCCCTTCTCTCTCTCTCTCTCACACACGCACACACACACACACACACACACAAATTCAATGAGACTATTCCTATTCTACAGGTGAGATAAGTGGGACACAGAGATGGTAAGTATGTTCTGGGTTGCAAGGGATAGTCAATGGGGGAATATAGAGATTAAATTCAAGTCTAATTCTAGAGTCTACTTTTATTCACTATATATCCTTGCTGGCATATTCAGAAAGCTTCAATGATTTAATAAGCTGGAATATAGTGAGTTGAAGTAATGAAGATGAGGATGGTTGGATAGACAAGCCTTGGTGATGGAGGGTACTATAGGTTGCATTAATGAATATAGACTCCACCTTGGAAATGAGAGATTATCAAAGGGTTAATATAGAAAAAAGAATATATTTAGACTTGTAACTTAGAACAGTCTTTTATTGACAAGGTAGATCTTGGTTGAAAAAGACAAGATAACTGTGAAGGAGGGGGGCTTCAAGCAGTTATTTTAGTGATTCAGGAAAGCAATGAGAAAGGTCCGAATAGCAGCTGTGGGGGTGGAAAGGATGGAACAAATGAGAGAGATACTAAATAGATAAAATTAATGAACTTAGTGAAAGTAAGAGAAGTGAAGAAACCTAGAATGACTTGTGGATTTATGGCTTGGGTAATAAGTGGTGAGTGGTGGGACTATATTTCATATAACACATAGCAGAGTAATTGGTGTACTGTAATCACTCAGCCAGATGTTAGCAATATATGACATAATGAAGGGAGTAGACAACAGAAAATGAAAAGGCTGGGGTTTTGTTCTTGATTTTATCACTGTATGAAGTATTTAACAATGCTGAGGCTTCAGTTTCATCCATATTTTGAAAATAAGGAGGGTTTATGGGGTGCCTGGGGACTCAGGTGAGTGTCTGCCTTTAGCTGAGATCATGATCCCAGGGTCCTGGGATCAAGTCTTCGGTTGGACTTCCTGCTCAGCAAGGAGTCTGCCTCTCCCTCTGCTCCTCCCCTACTCATACTCACTTGTGTGCATGCTCTCTCTCTCTCTCTCTCTCAAATAAATAAAATATTTAAAAAAATAAAAATAAGGGAGATTCTAGTCCAAAAAAGAGCCAGCCATTGTGTGCCTCTATCACCTGTGAAGCATTCTTGCCAAATAATTGGACTTGAATCTGATGAAGCCTATATATACCAGGTTAGAGAAAATTTTCATCCCTGTGACTTATTCATTCTGTAACTGGGAGCCTGTATTTCCCATTGCCCTTCATCCATTTTATTAATCCTTCCACTCTCCTCCTCTCTGGCAGCTAGTTCTCTCTATTTATGAGTCTGTTTCTGCTTTTTGTGTTATTTGTTAGTTGTTTTGTTATTTAGTTTTCACATATACGTGAGATCATATGACATACGTCTTTCTCTGTTGGACATATTTCACTTAGTGTAATACCCTTTAGGTCCATCCATGTTGTCAAAATGGCAAGATCTCATTCTGTTTTATGGCTGAGTAATATTCCATTGTGTTTACATACCACATCTTTATCCATTCATTCATCAGTGGACACAAGTAAATAATGCTGCAATGAGCATAAGTGTGCTATGTCTTTTCAGACTAGTGTTGCTGTTTTCTGTGGGTAAAGAGCTAATAGTGGAATTACTGGATCATATGGTATTTCTATTTTTAATTTTTTGAGGAACCTCCATACTGTTTTCCACAGAGGCTGTACCAACTTACATTCCTACCAACAATTTCCTACCACCCTACTGGTGGCATTCTCTCTACATCCTTGCCCACATCCTTGTCTTTCTGATATTAGCCATTCTGACAGGTGTAAGTGAGATCTCACTGTGGTTTTGATTTGTATTTCCCTGATAATTAGTGATGTTGAGATCTTATATGTCTGTTGATTATTTGTATGTCTTTGGAAAAAGGTCTATTCAGTTCCTCTCCCCATTTTGGGGGTGTGGATAAAGACAAAACAAGAGTGGCTATAAATTGGTAATTATTGAATTGGTAATAGGTTACCCTAGGGTTTCATTATACTGTTCTTTTCACTTTATGTACGTTGGAAATGGTCTATAAACAGTTTTTTTTAATGGAAATAATTGAGCTAAATCTTCAGCACTTTTTCAATTTCTAATATTCTCTAATCTTTTAGTTTTAATAAGTTATATG